AGGAGGCGAAGATATGCACATGAGGGGATCCTGAAGTCAAAACCCCAAGTCTGGTTTGAAGAAGGCAGAGCTCTGCTATGCCCAGCTCAGCACTGCCATCTCCTGACATTGCCCTGTACCCTGACCAGAACATTCCGGTCATGCTCAGTCCACTCTGTCAGATGGCCTTGGGCTACAGGGGGCACTCCAGGTTTATGGAGCTCCTGGTATAGCCCAACCACCTGAAGGGCCTCAGGGTAGGGAGAGCCCTCCCCCAAAAAATCTTTCCGGGGCATTTTAGAAAGAAGACCACAGGCCCAAAATGGAGTCACTGATGCTAGGCCAAGTCACCAAACTTGGCTTCATGCCTGACCCAATTGCAGTTTTGACCTCCCCCAGAGATGTAGTCTTAAACCAGGTCACTCAGGAATTTTCTGGTCAATGAAGTAATCTGTCTCCAATCCCCAAAGGAAGATGAGGTAATCTACCTAATCAGACCCTCTGCTCTTCCCCTAAGGGAAGGTGACCTTGCCTGAAACAACTTTCTTTTCTTTCGCTAATTGTTCTGCCCATTTCTGCCTATAAATCGTTCCATTTTGTAAAGCTCAGAACATCTCTCTTTTTGTTGGCTGGAATGTAGCCTGATTCATGAATCATTTAATACAGTCATTTAGACCTTCAAATTTACCTAGTTGAATTTTTTTTTTAATAGATTTCGTGGCAATGACGGGCTCTGACATGAACTTCCTATGGCATTTGGGGACCACAAGAAACACAGGGCTGGCACCCATGAGCCCTTTGAGTTCACTGTCTTTCTCGCCACCTCCGAAAGCCATGGGTAAGTCCTCTCTCAGTTCTGAGCTCCAGTCTCTTTGTGTTGAGGATCTGATCTAATTGGATTTCCTTTGCAGGGCAGGGTAGCTTGAGCTGGCAGACAGTAATGCCCAGAGCCCAGTTGGGCTGGCAAACAGTTCTGCCTGGAGCCTTACTGGGCTGGCAGACAGTTCTACCCTGAACTAAGCCCCTAGCCTTTCACACTACAAGTCCTCAGGTGGAAACCCCAGATCTTAGATCTCTCTCTGGATTCCACTTTGGGAGCTTCTGATGGTTTAGCTGCAATTCCCCATTTGTTTGGAATCCTTCCTTAGATTCCACACTGGGAACTGTTGGTAGCAGCTGCACTTCTCTGGTTTGAAATCAGCCCACATTCCCCACTCCTTGGGATTTGCTTGTTCAATCCCTTCCCCCTTCCAAGGTTCCACAGAGATTGGTGGTAGTACCAACCTGAGTTGGACTGAGTCCAATTTAAAGACCAGACTGGGTTGAGATCGGGCTGTGTGGGTAAAATTGCAGTATTTCCAGAATCTCTCATCTGGCCTTAGTGCGTCTCCATATCAATAGGTGATTACAAGGGTTGGGGGAGCGAGGGTATAACTGGACTGGAGAAGTTTAATGGGGTCCCTCTTTGCAGCCTGTGGTGAGAGACACGGGTGAGCAGAAGTAGACGACTGCTTGTAAGCAATAAGGGGATTTCTCTCACTTTATTTCTCCCTTTGACTGATTTCAGTTTCAAAGGTAATTTGCCCCAGGCTGGGAGAAAGATCTACCCCCCACACTCCCAGTTACAGACTGGATCTGATTTGAGCTAGACTGGGTCCAGTGCAAAGTCTCAGGTGAATAAAACTTTATTTTAAATGAAGGCCAGTTGATAATGGAAAACCCAAAAGTCTAAAAAAAAAAGCCACAAACATTGGTGGGCACAATCTGAGCACTTGAAGGCTGTTAGAGAGCTCACCACCTCAAGAAGAATTCTGTGATAAGATAAATTGGTCCAGAACAGGTTAGATTAACACTATGTCACATACCATCCTGAGAAGAAGTCCATGCAATGAGCTACACTGTAAAACACCCCACGGTCCCATCCCTGTGGCATAGGTATTGGTTTGGCTCTGAGAAACCCAAAGGTCTAGCTAAAAGTAATAACTAAAAAGTGAAAAGTCATAGCTAGAAGTAATGGCATCCTTTAAATCCAGAGTTGAGTGCACCAATTTCTGGCACACCTGCTTGTTTTTATGTCTAAGAACTATGATTTTGGAAGCTGCAGGTATCCAACAAGATGGCAAAATTTTACTAAAAGCAACCTGGAATTACAATAGCCATTATGGGTAATATTCCAATTAGATAAGGTCACTTACGAAGTGCACCTGAAAGCAAGTGTTCCAAAATGAAACAGAATGGGGTACCTATTTTAATTGGCATGCTGAAGCCGGCAAAAGGTTTCAAAATACTAAGATAGTTTCACTGAAAGGTTCATTGCAAAAGGCAAATGAAAAATTAAAGAGCTCAAACTACCTACAACAAGACTGATATGACTCCTATTGCTCCCCCCGTCTGCCTTATTTGCATACTCATTCTTGTAATCATTGGTCGAATTGTCTTTCCATTCTGAAGAGACTCTCAAGCCTCCAAAATAAAGATCACCTGAAGCTACAGGCAATCCTCTTTAGACATCTTTCATTCCTTGGTCAAAGTCTGACCTAAAGGCCATAGTTAAAGAATGTCTTCAACTCAGGGAAGATCCTCAAAAGTTTCAGTTAATAGATTACTTCCTAAGGCAAGTTAAGAGAGGGAAATAAAATTTCACCTTGTCCCTAACTTTCCAAATCCAGACCAAATTGGTTGTTAGTCTTGTCTCTCTGGGAATAGCTATTTCCTTCTTGTTTGTCTCATTTTACATCCCAAGAACTTTGCTTGGTTTCTGCCTCTCTGGGACATGCAGGTTGTCAGTTACTTCTTTGGCTAGCTGTAGGAGTGACTCTAGCTCTTGTGAAGATATCTTTTGCACTTTTTGAGGATGCCTCTTGAATCCTTTGGGTTGTTTGAACTGTGAGAAATATTTACTGTTTGTCCTGGCTGAAACCTACAAAACATTTGAAAGTATTTAATAACTTTGTGATAAAAAATTCATCCAAATTGGAAGCTGATATTCAGAGCCTGATAAGAATTTTTGTAGACCTCCTCCCCTAAGCTAAATGTGCCCAGAGGTGGATGGGTGTGTCAGTCTTTGATGCCATTTAGGTAACAACCCAGTTCTTTGAGGAATTAAAAATACCTGTCCTTATTGGCACCACCCAGGACTTAGACACTGGGTTTATAATTTGCTCCAACCATTAACCTTTGTTTTTCTTTTGTTTCCATAGAAATGTCTTTTTAATACTTGCTTACTTGAATCATAAGTAGGTCTAACTTTGGGAACATGCCTGCATCATCACTCAACTGAATGGACCTAGACTGACCGACTCCATGAGATGGAATGTTTATCAACTCAATTTTTAATGTGAACCTTCCGTGGAAGTTTCAGAGGAGGGAACCGTAGGGACCAAGGGCAGGCTGCCCTAAGATGTGCCATTGTGACATGCAGCTTATTTCAGAATTGAGAAGAATTGAGGTCCAAAAGACTCAAAAAGAAACTTTGAGACCTCCCATCCCCCAACTGCATAAAAAGAGTTTAGGTAGAAGACCTGCTCCAGGAAGAGAGCTGTCACCATGGATGGCTAGATTATAAAGTGACCTGGGTGTGTTAGACAGGGAGGAATACGGCTAAGTCTGTTAAAATGCCTCTGTGCCCCCCACATTGTTTCTGCATGGCCCATCAAACATTTGCTTATCAAACATTTACTCCTTTCATACTCCCTTGATAGCTTCTCTTTTCCTTTGAAGTCTCACACCCTTACCCCCTTCTCCTTGATTCAGGATGACATATATACCTCATTCTCCCTATACGTTCATAAATAAACTTTGTTTTTTCTCCTATTAAAAAATAAATTAAAAAAAGAAAAAATAAATAAAAACACCTGTCCTTGTTTTACAACTATAATCTTTATAGGACCAAAGGTGTGGCTCCAGAAACAATTCAAAGTCCATCAATTCTTTTTATCACTCTCCAAACCTGTCCTATTTATTTCAATAAAAAGCTTGCATTTTCTTCCCCCTGGGACCTTGACATGTAAATGTTCTACGTGGTCTTCTCCAGAAACTCTTATTTAGGCAGTCTCTTTAAAATGAGAATTTTAGGGAGGTAATTCATATCAGAAGAAAGAAGAAAAGACAGAAAAGTTGTTTGGAACTTGACTTGTCGAGGACAAATACAAATCTTGAGTGTTCTCCATAAATATCAGAAAAAGTTTTAGTCATCTGAGCAGGTACCTTAATTTATCCATCTACCAGAAAAACAACATACCTCCAACTTCTTTTATAACTAGTTACTTTGGTATTAATGTATCTAATTAATGGCAATAATTTTAAAAATGAAAGCTGTAATAGGTGTCTGTTTGCGTCGGTCTGTATTTCATGTGTATATATGTTGTTAATGTGTGGTATTTTCTAACTCTGGATGGTATTGACAAAATTAATTTGTAAAAGAGAAAGCTTTATTTAATAAGCTTAAAGAAAATTAAGCACTTATATAAATTAAATTCTCAGAAATATAATAGACACTTAATCCAAATGAATTTCAGATTCCCATGATCTGGAAAAATATTGAGTACTAAAGCTAGTTTAAGTTGGTTGGTTTAATTAAAACAGGCATGTCTTTAGAGTTATCATCATTAAATAAATGAACTTTTCAGTAATACTTATTATATCTACTTAAACAGTTTCCTCAAATCTTTGAGGCAACTTAAACTTTAGAGTTCTGCTATGTAATATTAGATGATGGATAGTCATTAAATATCTAGATCATTTCCAAATAAGATAAAATACTGAAATATTAATTACTGAACATAAGTCTCCCTGATATTGGCTTATTACAAAGAAACTAAAAAATACTTGGATGTGTTAGTACTACATCAGAAAATTGAAAAAGACATGTTTTTAGAAATTATGAAATATATATTTATATATTTGTAAATCTAAAGAATGCTGGTAAAACAGTTCATAATTGCTTATTTCTAAGTTTTCACTAGAAATTAAGGTTTCTAGGGTTAAGAATTCAAATTGCTATATGTAATTAAATCTATTAGAAATATTATAAAGGAAACATCTTTGTATGTACAGTAATTAAAATCTGTATTTTTCTTGAAGGTATAAAGAATGGAAATGCATTTTTGAGGGAAAACAAAGTTGTAGAAAGTTTGTGAAAGAGGAATCTTTGGAAAGGAATTTTATGTGTGATCAAGAATAAGATTTGAATGAATACATTTTAATGGCAAGTCATTGTGCAAACCTAGAATTTGTTTTTCTCTCTGTTAAAAGGACAAAGTGTTCTTGGACTACTGGTCTGCTCTTGATAAGAATTTAAAAGGTTTTTTATCTTTTAGGTAATCTGTTCAGAAAACACAGATTCTGAATTTTGCCCAAATAATTTTCTGCATTGTCTTTATCAGGTCTTTGATTACTTAAGAAAGCTGAACTCTTTCTATCAAGAAAAACTAAGGCCAAAAGTTGTTCTTGACGACAGGATAGCCCTTGATTATGTTTTAGCTGAGCAAGGAGGTGTCTGTGCTGTGGCCAACACCACCTGCTGTACTTGACCTAACATTTCTGTGGAAGTTGAAACAGTTATGAAGATCCCTGAGCAAGCCACTTGGCTTAAACAGGTGACTCCTTCCTTGGTATCTTTCTGTGATTGGCTTGGGTCTCGGGGTCCAAGACATTGGGAATTATCCTGCTTATAGTTATAATCATTTCCCTAATGTGTTGTATTTTCTCAAAAGCTTTCAATGCACATTCACAGCCACTAATCATCAAGCAAATAATCTCCCTAAAAATGAAAAATAAAAAAAGGAACCAAATGAATGACTAACTTATAGAAAGTGAACCTGAAGCTGTGACCTGTGAGTGTCACAGGGGTTAAAGCAAAATCTCATGACCTGTGGACACCACACAAAAGGATCAGCAAAATCTATGAGAACTTCAGAGGAGTAGCTGACAGTGGCTCTAATGCTTTAAAATTTGATTACATCTCTCAGGGAAGCTGAGAGTCTGATCAAAACAGGAAATTGTTAAAAAGAAACCACAGGCCCAAAATAGAGTCACTGATTCTAGGCCAAGTCGCCAGACCAGGCTTAGTATCTAACTTAACTGCAGTTTCAACCTACTCCAGAAATGCAGACTTAACCTGCGGGTCATGAATTTACTGCTTATTGAAATAATCTGTCAAATGAGCCCCGGCTATCACCCAGAGGGAGATGAAATTCCCAAACCCACCTGAGAAGACTCCATATACTTCCCTCTAAAATAATGTGACCTTGCCTGAAACTCTTTATTTTCTTTTCCTAATTGTCCCACTCGGTTTTTGCCTATAAAATCCCTCCATTCTGCAGAGTTCCTTGGAGCATCTCTCTAGTTGCTAGATGGGAAACAGCCTGATTCATGAATAGCTAAATGAATCCAATTAGGTCTGCAAATATACTCCATTGAATATTTGTCTTTAAGAGGTGGCAGGTACAAACTGATGGTGGTCAGTCCCCATTACGACTGGCTGCCTGACAGGGTCATGCGATTCTGCTGCAGTCAAGGGTCCCCTTCCCAGATGTCTCTTACTGGAGAATTCCTCAGCCAGTCCACCACTTGCCCAGTTCCAGACCTGACAAGGCAGCCAGGATTCCTCCAACTCTGCCTTCAGGAAGAATATGTGCATTTTTGTGTGTCCGTGTTTGAAATCAGGCTTATGCCACGTACTTCCAATAACCTATAGTGACCCAGGCTCTTCTGACATTTACCTGCTCCTGGACACCTTAGACCTGTGGAACCCACATGTGCATAATCTGCACCTTGTCAACAGGCCTTTGGCTTCTGGGGCCCCCAAACCTTTGGAGCTCATGTTGGACACCAACCACCTGTATAGCCTCCAGGGTTATACAGAGCTAGCCCACTGCTGGAAAATCTTTCTGAGGCAGCACTTTTAACCTGGCAACAGTGAGTTGCCACTTGGACTGGCTGCCTGAAGGAGTCCCAGGCTTCTCCAGCGATCAAGGCTCCTAGCTGTGTGTTACTGAACATAACCCATACAGTCCTCCTGGCCCACTCAGGCAACGCAGTCCAGATTCTTCCAGCTCTGCCTTCAGTGGGGTCCTGGGCCACTCTAGCCATCAAAGCTCCCAGGTGTCTATTATCAAAGTATAAATGTAGACAAAATGGAGTTGACATTGACCACAAGAGTAAACTAAAGTGGAGTTGGGGGCCATTAAGGAAATAGCATCTATGCCAGGCCTCTTTTCTGAAACTGTTCTCAGAACATCAAACCATAAGCATCCTAGACAAATATCTGTTGCCTGCAACGAGTGGACTTTTTGTCTAGTGAATAGCTTAAGCAACCAATTGTGTACAGCTAAATGTAGGTCACAGTAGGTTTTAGCCAATTGCAATTCTTTCCAAACAACCCATATAAGCCCTCTTGGAGTTCCCCTTTTTGCTTTACGAACTCTAAACCCTTTGCCCTCTTTGGATTTGGTTTCCAACTAAATCTGTGTTTCTGCATACATTTGTGTTTCCTCCTGAATCTATCATCCCAGATTATAATCCTTAAAATCCCAAATAAAACACATGCAAAAATTGTTTTACAGCTTCGTTTTTTTTTTTTCGGCTGACAGAAGGATTCCCTGGACAGCCCTCCCCTTCTGTTTTGGCAAGACAGACCTGATTCCTCCAGCTTTGCCTTCAGGAGGAATATGCCCATTTGTGAAGGGTAAGGATTGCAGTTAGGCAGATGCCAGCTGCACCCTCCTGTGACCCAGCCCTATAGGACATTGCCCTGTTCCAAGTCCCTGGCTTTCCTTCCCTGCATGCCTCTGCATGTGCAGTCTGTACCCTGGCAGCAGGCCTGTGGCTCCTGAGACCTTCAGACCTTTGGAATTCAGGCGGCACAACCACCCGAGTAACCTTCAGGGTGGAGAGAGCTCACTGCCCAAAACTCTTTCTGAGGCGGCACCTTTAGCCTAGAGACAGTCAGTCCCCAAGTGGAGTGGCTGCCTGAGGGGATCCAGGGCTTCTCCAGCAATCAAGTTCTCAGTGTCTGTTGCTGAAGGGTACCTGGTACCTGGACCTTCTGGCCCACACTGGCAAGGCAGCCCAGATTCCTTCAGCTCTGCCTTCGTGCAATATGTGCATTTGTGTAGATTATGGTTTGTAATTAGATGGGTGCCAGGTCCTTGCAATAACCTGCTGTTGGGACCTGTTAAAAAACAAAACTCAACCGAAGTTTGAAGATGATTAGAATTGGCTTCACTAAGTGAATCATGAATCAGTCAGTGTCCCATCTAGCACATAGAGGTGCTCCCAGGCACTACAGGAAAGAAAGGCTTTTAAAGACAGAGCTTTAAAAAAAGAAAGGAATTTATTAGCAAATAATGCATTGTTTAGACAAGATTGCCCACAAAAGGGAGAAGGGTGTCCCAGGGGATTACCTCTAGGAAATTCCAGTTTGACTGTTTAAAGGTCACATTCCTCAGGGGGTTGAAACTGTATTTAGGGTAGGGTTAAATCTTGGTAACTTTGTGACTCTATTATGGTCCTGCAATTTTTTTTGTTTTAACAGACCCCACTTCTCCTGACACTTGCCCTCTCTCAGGTAACCCTGGCCTGCATGCGCCTCACAGTCTGCACCCCACCAGCCAACCTTGGGCAGCTGGGACTCTCCAGGCCTGTGGAGCTAAGGCCCATCTCCAACCACCTGCACAGTCACATGAATGGAGGGAGCCCACCTCCCACCCCAAAATCACTTTGATGCAGCTGATGAAGTGGGTCTCCACGTGGAGTTACTGTCTGCTGGGGTCCCTAGCTTCTGCAGCAGTCACGCTCCCAGGTGAATGCCTCACTGAGTCTGCATGAACCAGCTATGGCAAGGCAGTCCAGATTCTTCCAGCTCTGCCCTCACAGGAATATGCTCATTGGTAATGCTCAAGGGTAAGGCTTGGCATTAAGCAGCCTCCTGTGTAACCTGGCATCGCCTGACATTGCCCTGTTTCATGTGCCTGGCCACCTTGACCCATGTACTTTGTACACACACAGTACGTACCCAGTCAGCAGTCCCTGGGCAGCTGGGGCACTCCAGCTCTTGACCCATGTACTTTGTACACACACAGTACGTACCCAGTCAGCAGTCCCTGGGCAGCTGGGGCACTCCAGCATTGAGGAGCCTGGGCCCATCCCCAACCACTTGCATAGTCCCCATGGTGGTGGAAGACTACCACCTGAATAGGGCACTGAAGCAGCCACTGAAATTGGTGACAGTCCCCGCAGACATATTGTTTGCTGAGGTCCTGGACTTCTGTAGCAATCAAGGCTCCCTGGTGTGTCTTATTGGAGGATAAGTCAGTTAGCCCACCGGATCCAGCCTTAGCAAGGCATCCCCTGCTCTGCCTTCATAGGAATATGTGCATTTGCCTATGTTGGGCCAGGAATTTGGTAGATGCCTTTAACCCAAGAGCCTGGCACTGTGACCCTTGCCCTGTTCCAGGTCCCTGGTTACCCTGACCTATGTGGCCTCACATGTTAGACTGTATCTTGTCCATCAGCACCTCATCCGGCCCCAGTCCGAATGAGGACAACTGGGAACCTTGATTGTTGCACGAGCCCAGGATCCCATCAGCCAGGCGGTCCACATAGGTACTAACTGTTGTCTATTTCAGCTGAGCTTCAGAGTGATTCTCATGGTGTAGGCTCTCCCTACCCTTGAGGCAATGCTGGTTGTTGGAAATGGGCCCTAGCTCCACAGGCCTGGAGGGCTGAGTCTGCCCAGTGGCATCTCACAGGTTGCTTACTGCACACGTGTGGACATTGCAGGTCAGTGTAGCCAGACACTGGAGACTGGGCCAGTATTAGCAAGGTGTGATTGCAGGAGTGGGCTTTGGGATATAAAACATCTGCCTAATCTCAAGGCCTACCTGCCCATTGTGGAATATCCCCCCAAAGGTAGAACTTAAGGACTTTCAACTTCCTTCCTAGGAGAGGCTAGGCAGGCAGGACAGGGCACCCTCCCTTAGGAGACACCTGGTAGTCCTGGTTCCTAGAGAAGCCCAGGACACCATCAGGCATCCAGTCCATACTGGGACTGTCACCCACTGGCAGGTGCCGCCTCAGTGTGATTTTCAGAAGGGAAGTCCCTTATCAGCAGACACCATATAGGTGGTCAGGGCCTGGATGGAGTCCACAGGCTTGTATGGTCGAATCTGCCAGGGTCTGGCTTACTGGTATGTACTGTGCATTTACTGGCTGCACAGGTCACGGTAGCCAATAGCCTGAACAGGGCAAGCTTCTGATGATGCTGGGTGACTTGAGAGATCTCTTGGGATTACAGGTCACCTGCCTAATTCCAAGCCCTCACCTAGACCAATAAACAGATTCCTGTGAAAGCAGAGCTGGAGAAATCTGGACGGCCTTACCAGGCCAAGGCCTAGAGGGCCGTGTGGGATATCTTTTGGTAACAGACACCTGGGAGCCTTAATTGTTGAAGTCTGGGTCCCCATCACTCACCCAGTCCAAATGCAGACTGACTGTCTCCAGTGTAAAAGTTCTGCCTTAGAAAGATTTAAGGCAGTGGGCTCCTTCCACCCAGAGATGATTCAGGTAGTTGGTGTCTGTTGTGGGCTCCAGAGGCCTGGAGGGACCAGGAGCCGAAGTCCTGCTGATGGGATGTGGACTGTGCTTGCTTGTGTGGCACAAGTCAGGGGAGCCATGGATGTGGTACAGGACAATGTTGGTTGAGGCTAGCTTGCAGAAAGGTGCTCTTGGAGATACAGGCATCTGCCTAATTCCAAGCCTTAACCTACACAAATTTGCATATTCCCCCAGAAGGCAGAGCTGGAGGAATCTGGACCATAGTGCTAGGGTTGCACCCATTGCTCTGGCTGGGATATCCTCCAATAAGAGACACCAGGAGCCTT